TATATATATATATATATATATATATATATATATATATATATATATACTTTGTATGACAGCCATTCAGACCAAGATGAGAACATTTCCAGAATCCCAGCAGGGTCTCCCATGCCAACTTTCATTTATTAATCCTGTGCCCAGATATTCTATCTGTATCACCATGGATGTTTTTTTTTTCCTGTTTTTGAACTTCATATAAATACAATCATGCAGTATACACTCTTTTTCTTCTTTCACCCCATCTTATGTCTTTGAATTTATCCATGTTGCATGTAGCAGTGGTTCATTTTCACTGCTACACAATATTCTATAGTATGAATATACTATAAAATTATTTTTGTAAGAACTTTTATATAATTCATTCTAACCTGAGCTTGAAATTGCTCTGAAGAAATCTTTGACTAACTTAACATTTTCCTCCTCCTGGGTGACTTGCTCTTCCTTCCTGAAAACATGAAGACATTTTATAACAATCATTAAACTAAGGTTAATTTAATCAAGATAGATTTTCCCTTAACAATTTTTCTTAGAAACATGATAATGCCCCATTGATACATGGAACTGGTTCCTTTTTCTTTCATATTTTAAGGATTTTTAAAATTATATTTTAAAATATTTTCTCTTCTACTTTAGCTTTTAGATTATCTTCTTATTGAGTCTTTTTCTTTTTTGTCTCTTACCCAGATATATCATATTTTTCCCAATTGCTGTAACGTTGTTCTCTTTTTCTGCATTTACTATGAAAATATCAAGCTTTTCTTTTAGTCCAGAAATTAAAATATTATCTGAGTTCAACCTAGCTATTGGTTTTTCTAATTTATATGTTATCTGGGTAATGGTACTGTTTTGGCTCAACTTGTCTCCTTATCTTTTATATACTTTTAAATTATACTTTTTTAAAAAAGTTAAATTTGTCTTTGAACTCTAATTTTATTTAATCTCAGGTCTTTTTATACTATAGGCAACTTTTTTGGAGTTCTTTTCTTCCCTGCTTATGATTTCTACTAGTCTCTGCATACTATGTTACTTTCATTATTTTTATGATCATATTATTACTCTTATTTACATTAATCTCTCCCCACAACTACAAATTTATATTGTTAATCTTTTCATTTTGCTTGTGTTCCTCTTAGCTCTGTTTACGCTTTCTGTTTGCTTAATATAGTGTGGACAAATGATTCTTTAAATACCCCTCCCTATCTTTTTTGCTACTTTTTATTTTTCCCTTCAAGCTACAGTTTAGGTGACAAAAATCTACATACACGCCAGTTACTTTTTTATGACCTGAAAGAAAAGGGGAGAAAAAGCAAAGTGTCCTGGGTTGGAGGTCCTGGGTTGTAGTCTCTAATGAGACCTGTTAAATGTCTATGAGGCCCCTCTCCTCTGCCCAAGGATGCACTTGAGTTCCTGTGGGATTTGCCTGGCTTTCCTGACTCAGCTGTGAGCCCTGGCTTGTGGAGAGTCCTGACAGTCTTTCTTACTTCTGCAGACACCTCGTGATTAGTTTCCGAATGGGGAAGAGATGCATAAGCACTCTGATGGTTTTGGTGATGACTCAAGTTTCTTTATCAGAATTGGTTATGGGGTCAGGGAGAGGTTTAGGATTAGTGTTGTCCCATCAGAACCTTTTAATTATTTCATCAGCCTGAAACTTAGTTTATGACATAAGATAGTACCCGCTTTATTTCACTTCTGCTGTTGAATTTCTTTCTTTTTTAAAATTTTTGTTTTGTTAGTATTCTGGGCATGGAAATTCCGTCACCTGTCTTTATGCAGTCATCTTTACCTGGAAATAAGATTGGAAAATTCCTTAAAGAAAATTCTCTCAGGGCGCCTGGGTGGCTCAGTCGTTAAACGTCTGCCTGCCTTCAGCTCAGGTCATGGTGTCAGGGTCCTGGGATCAAGTCCCGCATCGGGCTCCCTGCTCAGCGGGAAGCCTGCTTCTCCCTCTCTCACTCCCCCCTGCTTGTGTTCCCTCTCTTGCTGTCTCTCTCTGTCAAATAAATAAATAAAATCTTTTAAAAAATAAAAGAAATAAAAAAAGAAAATTCTCTCATACCTTCACAGAACAATCTGATTCCTTACGTAGGGCTTATTTATTTTTTTACTTTTACCTTCATTTAGTAGAAGAAGAAACAATAGCTCAAAGGAGTTAAATACTGTGATCTGGGTAAATTTTGTGGTTACGGGCACAGCTGTGCCTGGTAGCCTAGCTCCTATAACCCACAAAATATTCTTTTTAGTTGAACACCCTGGTTCACTCTGGTACAATGAGTACAGTGTAGACTCGCACAAAGCATGAACTGTGTTGACCTTCAGGATTACTTTAATCCTGTGTGATTTCAGAATGGGGATAACATGAATTATATTATTGGTCTCTGGCATAATAAAAGTAACATATTCCCTAGAGAATACATAAAAATTTTTGAGATTAATAATATAATCTGCTGTTAGCATTTCAAACGTAAGAAAATTAATACACTATTTTCTCTTTTTCCAGAAAATACAAGAGACATCATAATGATATATGAAGAAGATGCTGAGGAATGGGCTCTGTACTTGATGGAAGTTTTTTTACATGTTGTGAAAAGGGAAGCAGTCCTGTTATATCGCTTGGAGAATTACTCATTTTGGGATTTGGAATTGCTGAGCTTAAACTCTTACAAATGTAAACTTTTGATATTATCAAATGGCCTGCTTAAAGACCTAACTCCAAGGAAATGTCAGTTTCTGGAAAAGGTACTTCATTCACCAGAAAGTATGGTTACTCTGCTGTGTGGGGTGACGAGTTCAGATCAGCTCTACAAATTACTAAATATCGCTGGAGGCAAATGGGAGATGTCTACTGAGCAGGAGCCCCAAGATTACATCGCTGTAATCGAGAGTATCATATTCAGAGGTAGTGTTCCCCAATCTTCTTTATATTTTTTTTATAATTAAGAAATCTAAAGTTTTTTTTTTCGCTGATGAATATTTGATATTAGGATAAAAAAGAAAAACGGAAGCCAACTCTATGTTGTATGTATGTTGCACTTTTCTCAAATGCATGAAGGTTCTTAATTTTTAGCCATATTCCAGTCAGGGCTTATCAGTTGTTTTAAAAATAGTTTATAAATATATTCCTTAGGGTGGTCTGGTATAAGCTCATACTTGGTAGAACAAGTATGGTATGGTATGCTATATGGCAGTTTGGTTCTAAAAGCTGGTTTCTTACTAACTGGTAAGGCTTGAGTTAGTATCTACCCTATTACTGTTACAAGTCAGTAGGAGTCCAAGTTTGAAGGTCTGTTTTAGAATTATAAAACTTCTGTTGTGCTGATAATTGTATGGCATCTATTAGGATGATATGGAGTACTGTTATTTTTATTAGTTTTAAATAAAAAAAATTGTTTTAATCATATAGCCACATGTCAAAGAGCAGAACACAAAGTTCCCCTTTGGTAATTAATTACAGTTCCATGTAATAATGAAAACTCTGAAGCTCTCTAATGTTAAAAAGTTTCTCCCTCCCCCCCCCGTTCTATTCTGCTTCTGCCTGAGTGTGGAGGCGGGGCTGTGGCAGCTGCATTCCTGCTTTTCTCAACCTGTGTTTAGCCTCTTATTTCCAGTGTTCTAGCTATGGCTCCCTCTCCTGCAGGGAAGTGGTGGGGTTCTGATTTTCTATTGGCCATATCAAATATGTTGCCTCCTTTTCTTGGGCATATTTCTGGGTTCTTTGGAGTTACCTTCATTCACTGGGATGTGTCACCTGCGGCGCCTTAATGAGATGACTGTGTCCTCTCTTGAAGCTCCTGCTTGTGGTGGTCCACCCACTGTGGTTTCTTACTGTTGATATCTATGGCTCTCTCCTGTGTCACTTTTGATAGATATCACTCCACCATTTCCCCCAGCTGGCCTTTTCTTTCATTTGGCCCACATCTGTCTGTGAAAACATGTGTTTGTCTTTTCCCTGTCAAACTCTGGGCATGAAGGCCATTTTCAGTATAGCCAACACCATCTTACCCTCAGAGCAGCAACACAGCCACAGCCTCATGCTTTGAGTCGTTTCCGGGCATGGGTCTAGCACGAATCTTGTTCTGTCAAACCAGAGAACATCTATCAATCCCCGATGCTTTGCTGGAGGCCTTGTCACTGTGCTTGAAAATGGTGCCATCCGTCCGTCTTCCCCATGGGGGATGGCGGGATGCACAGCATACCAACTACTCTCTTTAAAAATCCTCTTCCTATTTTCTAGCATTCCAACCTCTTCAAATTCAGAACTCTCTAAGCCGTGTCTTATAGTTATCTATTGTTGCATAACAAGTTACTCTAAAATTTAGCAACTTAAAACAGCAAATGATGATTGTATCAAAGTTTCTGCAGTTAAGGAATCTGGGAGCTGCTTAGCTGGGAGGTTGTGGATCAGGGTATCTTGTGAAGTTCAGTCAAGCTGTCCAAAGGTACAGTCATCTGAAGGCCCCACTGTCCACTAGGGGAAGATTTACTTCCAACAGGAATGTACATCGTTGGCAAGTTTGTTATTTTTTTTATCATCTCACTGGATGGAAGTCATCTTTCATAGATTCCTGAGGAAGGGCCCTTGGGAGCAACATTTCTGAAATTTTGTGTGTTCAAAATTCTTGCATGTTTGTTGCTTGGAGTATAGTTGGGCTAAGGACCATTTTGCTCTTCTTTCTTCTAGCATTGTAGAATTTAAGAAATTCTTATTTACCCGGCTGAATAAATGATTCTTTTTTTTCTTTATTAACATATAATGTATTATTTGTTTCAGGGGTACAGGTCTGTGATTCATCAGTCTTACACAATTCACAGCACTCACCATAGCACATACCCTCCCCAATGTCTATCACCCTGCCACCCCATCCCTCCCACCCCCCTCCACTCCAGCAACCCTCAGTTTGTTTCCTGAGATTAAGAGTCTCCTATGGCTTGTCTCCCTCTCTGGTTTTGTCTTATTTCATTTTTCCCTCCCTTCCCCTATGATCCTCTGCCTTGTTTCTCAAATTCCACATATGACTGAGATCATATGATAATTATCTTTCTCTGATTGACTTATTTCACTTAGCATAATACCCTCTAGTTCCATCCATGTCGTTGCAAATGGCAAGATTTCATTTTTTGATGGCTGCATAATATTCCATTTTACATATACATACATATATATATATATATATATATATATATATATATATATATATACACACCACTCTTCTTTATCCATTAATCTGTTGATGGACATCTAGGCTCTTTCCATAGTTTGGCTATTGTGGACTTTGCTGCTATAAACACTGGGTTGCACATGCCCCTTCAGATCACTGCATTTGTATCTTTGGGGTAAATACCCAGTAGTGCAATTGCTGGGTCATAAGGTAGCTCTATTTTCAACTTTTTGAGGAACCTCCATACTGTTTTCCAGAGTGGCTGTACCAGCTTGCATTTACACCAACAGTATGGGCTGTTGCAACAAGAAGGCTCCCCTTTCTCCACATCCTCGCCAACATCTGTCATTTCCTGATTTGTTAATTTTAGCCATTTTGACTGGTGTGAGGTGGTATCTCATTGAGGTTTTGATTTATATTTCCCTGATGCCGAGTGATGTTGAGCACTTTTTCAAGTGTCTGTTGGGCATTTGGATGTCTTCTTTGCAGAAATGTCTGTTCATGTCTTCTGCCCATTTCTTGATTGGATTATTTGTTCTTTGGGTGTTGAGTTTGATAAGTTCTTTATAGATTTTGGATACTAGCACTTTATCTGATATGTCATTTGCAAATATCTTCTCCCATCCTGTCAGTTGTCTTTTGGTTTTGTTGACTGTTTCTGCTGTGCTAAGCTTTTTATCTTGATGAAGGAATAAATCCCACTTGGTTGTGGTAAATAATCCTTTTAATGTACTGTTGGATCCTATTGGCTAATATTTTGGTGAGAATTTTTGCATCCATGTTCATCAGGGATATTGGTCCGTAATTCTCCTTTTTGATGGGGTCTTTGTCTGGTTTAGGAATCAAGGTAATGCTGCCCTCATAAAATGAGTTTGGAAGTTTTCCTTCCATTTCTAGTTTTTGGAAGGGTTTCAGAAGAATAGGTATTAATTCTTCTTTAAATGTTTGGTAGAATTCCCCTGGGAAGCCATCTGGCCCTGGGCTCTTGTTTGTTGGGAGATTTTTGATGACTGCTTCAATTTCCTTTCTAGTTATGGGTCTGTTCAGTTTCCTATTTCTTCCTGGTTCAGTTTTGGTAGTTTATACTTCTCTAGGAATGCATACATTTCTTCCAGATTGTCTAATTTGCTGGCATGTAGTTTCTCATAATATGTTGTTATAACTGTTTGTTTTTCTTTGGTGTTGGTTGTGACCTCTCCTCTTTCATTCATGATTTTATTTATTTGGGTCCTTTTTTTTCTTTTTGATAAGTCTGGCCAGGGCTTTATTGATCTTATTAATTCTTTCAGAGAACCAGCTCCTAGTTTCATTGATTTGTTCTACTGTTCTTTTGGTTTCTATTTCATTGATTTCTGCTCTGATTTTTATTCTTTCTCTTCTCCTGCTGGTTTAGGCTTTATTTGCTTTTCTTTCTTCAGCTCCTTTAGGTGTAGGGTTAGGTTATGTATTTGAGACCTTCTTGTTTCTTGAGAAAGGCTTGTATTGCTATATACTTTTCTCTTAGGACCGCCTTTGCTGCATCCCAAAGATTTTGAACAGTTGTGTTTTCATTTTCATTTATTTCCATCAATTTTTTTAATTCTTCTTTAATTTCCTGGTTGACCCATTCATTCTTTAATGGTATGCTCTTTAGCCTCCATGTATTTGTGTTCTTTCCAACTTTCCTCTTGTGTTTGAACTCTAGTTTCAAAGCATTGTGGTCCAAAAATATGCAGGGAATGATCCTAATCTTTTGGTACCAGTTGAGACCTGATTTGTGACCCAGAATGTGATCTATTCTGGAGGATGTTCCATGGGCACTAGAGAAGAATGTGTATTCTATTGCTTTGGGATGGAATGTTCTGAATATATCTGTGAAGTCCATCTGGTCCAGTGTGTCATTTAAAGTCTTTATTTCCTTGTTGATCTTTTGCTTAGATGATCTGTCCATTTCAGTGGGGTGGGGATGTTAAAGTCCCCTACTATTATTGTATTATTGTCAATGTATTTCTTTGATTTTGTTATTAATTGGCTTATATAATTGGCTGCTCCCATGTTAGGGGCGTAGATATTTACAAGTGTTAGATATTGTTGTTGGATAGACCCTTTAATTATGATATAGTGTCTTTCCTCATTTCTTATTATAGACTTTGTTTTAAAATCTAATTTGTCTGTTATAAGGATTGCCACCCCAGCTTTCTTTTGATATCCATTAGCATGGTAAATGGTTTTCCACCTCCTCACTTTCAATGTGGAGCTGTCTTTGGGTCTAAAATGAGTCTCTTGCAGACAGCATATTGATGGGTCTTGTTTTTTTATCCAATCTGATACCCTTTGTCTTTTGATTGGGGCATTTAGCCCATTTACATTCAGGGTAACTATTGAAAGATATGAATTTAGTGCCATTGTATTGCCTATAAGGCGACTGTTACTGTATATTGTCTGTGTTCCTTTCTGGTCTATGTTGCTTTTAGGCTCTCCCTTTGCTTAGAGGACCCTTTTCAATATTTTTTGTTGGGCTAGTTTCGTGTTTGCAAATTCTTTTAGTTTTTCTTTGTCCTGGAAGCTTTTTATCTCTCCTTCTATTTTCAGTGACAGCCTAGCTGGATATAGTATTCTTGGCTGCATATTTTTCTCATTTAGTGCTCTGAATATATCATGCCAGTCTTTTCTGGCCTGCCAGGTCTCTGTGGATAGGTCTGTTGCCAATCTAATGTTTCTACCATTGTAGGTTACATATCTCTTCTCCCGAGTTGCTTTC